AACTTCTGCCAAACTAAATGTTCCCGATCAATAAGTTCTTGGGCAAATGTCATTATCTTAAAATATTTTAGTACATTTACAAAACAAACAATCACTACTGTAACCCTGATTTAGTTTCAATTCATTTGATTCTGATGCTTACCCTCTACTTACAACTTTTAAGTAGTTTAAACTCTACTTGTTTCACAATGGACTAAATCCCAGCTTTATTTCAAATTTTGCTTTGACTCATTTTGAAATGGATACAGTCGCAGACATGAGACCCCAGTTGTCACTGGCCATGTGACACACATGTCTGCCGGTTGCAATAAATAATCCTTTTGGAAGAGAGTATAGGCCAAATGGCCTTCTCTTGATCCCGCTTCTGATATTCTTGAGTTCCCACAATTCTTGCTTCTGATCATTATCCACTGATTTCTACTAAAAGTGGCTGTGTAAGAAAGACAGATGAGGTCAACATTGTGCTAAGCTGTGACATTTTGCACGGCACCACTGTGGTGCAAAACCGGAAACAGGACTACCCATCACGACAGACTGGACGATATAAATTCAGAGCGGGACAGAACAACAATGCTTCAGTGGAGGCTAGAGAGCACTGAAGATGTCACCTAGAAGGGAGACAAAACAATTGCATAAAAACCAGTCAGCTTGGCGAACCAACCAACAACTCCAACATTTTGTACAATTGACTAGCCTGTCCACACTGACCTTCAGGCCAATTATCACAGCCTGTGGAACCATATCCATATAATGATAAATAACTTCTGGATAACAAGGGAGAATCAACATTAGGGAGAAAAAATGGTCACTTGAAAACATTAATTGTTCAGTTCATTCTGACAGCTAATTGGTTCCTTTTTAAAATTCAATGTGAATAATTTCAATATAAAAACATAGAAATCAGCAACATTCAGCACCTTGAACCTGCTTTGTTGTTCACTAAGATCGTATTTTATCTGATTATGGCCTTAATTCCACAGTCCTTTCTATCTCCTATAACCTACGACTCTCTTGTTAGTAAGAATTTATCACCTCTGACTTAAAAACATTCAATAACTCAACCTACTCAGCACTTTGGGGAAGAATATTCCAAAGACTCATGACCCTCACAGAGACTTTTCCCCATTGTTATCTTAAAGGAAGATGCCTTATTTTTAGTTTTTTTTTTTAGTCAGCCTGTCCAGGGATGCCATGACATACCCTGGAGCAGTCATATCCTGTAGTTATAGTTTCCTCCGCAGGGAAAGTATCCTTTCAGCATCTTCCCTGTCAAGTCTTCTCAGGATCTTGTATGTCTCAGTAGTTTCACCTCTTTGAAACTCCAGTGTACACAAACGCAGCTTGTCTAATCTTTCTCCATAAGGTAATTCCCACCACACACTTCCCCCCAACATCTATTCTAGATATCAGTAGGTGAACCTTTATATTCTTTCTTATTAGGCAAACCAAAATTGTGCACAGTACTCCATACATCATCTCAGCAGTGCGCATATAAATGTGGAAAAGAATCCCAACTTTTATATTCCATAGTTGGCAACATTCCATTTGCCTTCCTAATTAATTGTTGCATACTAATTTTCTATGACTTCTGTACCAGGATACCGAGATCCCTCTTTACCTCAGAGTTCTGCAATCTCATGCAATTTAAGTAATAGTTTGATTTTCTATTCTTCCTGCCAAAGTGGGCATTTTCCACATTTCCTACATTATACTCCATTTGTCAAATTTTTGCCCCCTTACTTAATCTAGCCATATCCTATTGCAGACTCCTTCTGTGAGACCACAAGACATAGAAGTACAGCACTATACTGATTCCTGTGGCAGACCATTATTTACAGATTGCCATTCTGAAAATGCTCCCCTTATGCCGAATGTCTGTCTTCTGTATGTTAGCCAGTCCTCTACCCATAGTCAGCATGACTGTGACACTTTGGTTCTTTATGAAGTAGCCTAATGTATGATGCCTTATTAAACATCTTCTGAAAGTATAAATATATTGCATCCATTGCATCCCCTTTATACATCCTACTTATGATCTCTTCAAAGAATTGTAGTAAATCTATCAGGCATGATTTCCTCTTCAAAAAGCCATGCCGACACTGCTTGGTCATGTTATGTATTTCTAAATACTCTGCTATTACATCCTTTAATAATGGACTGCAACATTTTCCTAATAGAAGATGTTAAGCTATCTGGCCTTTAGTTACCTGTCTTAGCTCTCCTTCCCTTTTTGTCTCCTCTTTACATATTACATTCCTGACTATCTTTATGTTTTTACTAATCGTTATTATATTTGTTTCCTTAATCCAAATCATTAACATAAAGCTCAGAATATTAAATTTCATTGTCAAATTTATACTCCTCTAATTCTAGTGCTAATGAGCATGTTGAGATAAGAATGGTAACAAAACTGTTTGGCCAGCCGTAATCTCAGAAGAGTGGAAGCAAAATAAATTTGAGAATAAACTTTAAATATGCACACAGGATTTTAAATAAAGTACTGAAAAAATCTTTCATAGGTAACATAAAATACAGTTTTGTTATTATGATTGGAGAAATTAACATAAAATTATAAAGCCTAAAATTCTTAATGCTCATTGTGAATATAAAGCAATATGCAGGCTGTTTGTTTGACTTAATTTCCCATGCAAGTTTTCAGAGAGTTATTAAAAGAAATAAATTAAATGCATGAACACGTGAAGTGGTACAAAATGAATGAAAAGTATTTGATTGAAATTTCTTTTGGCATCCTGATGGTTTTTGCTGGGTTATTTGATCCCTGTCAGTGCAGCAGATGGGTCTACAGTTGCTTTCAGCTCCTTCGGCGAGGGAATAGATAACTTACAATTGTTTACACTCTTGATTGTTATTCCGTGGTTTTTACTGTGGTTCTAAGTGTCAAATGAAGACTTGATTTGATTTATTGTTGTTAAACAAGAACACATTCAACTATGATGTCCTCCACAGTCAAATGAAGAGTGGACATTCAAGTATGAATCTTAGTGGTGGGCACTGCAAGTAAAATCACAGCTAAGCAAGACCTAGCCCTTGTAGCTGAGAAATGGATATAGGCAAAAAGTTGCATTTTAACAAAGGAACAGTGCACCTATCCTTGTCCAAACAAATTAAATCATGTTTGATCCATGGATTTCATATTACAAACCTCAAACAGCAAGACAATGTATAATACCTAGTTCATAGCTCAATAAAATTAAAGATGTTGAAATATAACTGAAGGCAAGCAGATGTGATTAAATATTGCTTCCATCTGTTTTTGAGCATAGTTCTTTTTATGTGGATGAAATATATATTAATATATTTATACATATAGTTGTATTAGGTTTACTTCTGACTAATGTATACTTCTTATAAGAAATCAGACATGATTTTCTATATCATGAACAAAAACAAAGTTACTGGAAAAGTTCAACAGAACTGGTTCTGAGGAAGGGTCACCGGACCCAAAAGGTTAACGCTGTTTTTTCCTCTGGTTCTGAGGAAGGGTCACCGGACCCGAAACATTAACTGTGTTTTTTCCTCCAGTTCTGAGGAAGGGTCATCGGACCCGAAACGTTAACTCTGCTCTTTTCTCCGCAGATGCTGCCAGACCAGCTGAGCTTTTCCAGCAACTTTGTTTTTGTTCCTTATTCACAGCATCCACAGTTCTTTCAGTTTTTATAATTTTCTATATTTCCAGCTACATGCCATTCAAGGGAAAACAAACATGAAACGGAATGAATGAATTAATCCCTGAAACTAAACATGGGAATTGCGCAAATTACCCATATCTATTGGCTGCAACGCAAGCACCATATGAATGATTTCAGCATGAGATAACATTAAATGCATTGTTGATGAGCATGGGACCAATATTTTGATTACCTACCACTAGTTAAAGCTAATTTAACCTCTGAAACTGATGTTGCAATGTGGTTGAAACGTTGTGGGAGCTAAACCTGACCTTATAACACCAGAAGGATGGCACAACGTGGAAGAATGCAGGCTCTAAAGATTTTGAACATAAGAATACAAGAACAAAAAAAAGGACAGCAGTTGACCACCCCTTCCACAAGCCTGCTGTCTCTTTCAATTTGATCATGGCTGATTTACCTTGATTTCACCTTCCTGTACTGTTCCCATAATACTTGATTCCCTTAGTAACCAAAGGCCTCTTGATCCCTGCCTTTAATATACTGTGGTTGGAGCTTCCACTGCTTGCCGAGACAGCAAATTTCAAGGATTCACAACCATCTTTTAAATAAAGAAATTTCACCTCAAATTAATTCTAAATACTAGGGCTCTGGACTGTGGCTATGACCACTGGTTCTCTACCTCCTACTTGGGGAAATGTTCTCCCAGCATCAACCTGGAAAACTGAAGATTTTGAAAGGCTGGAATGTCATCACAGATTTGGGCAGAATAGAGACGATTCATTGACAATTATGAGAAAAAAATTGAGTGCAGTGTACACTTTGCAAATTTAAAAATGTTTTGTTCAGTGCTTGCTGGGAAACTACTTGACCTATTTTCAAATTTAAGGTGACGTTAGGGTGAACATTTTCAAGTTTAACTGAACAATTATAAGAATAACACAGCAGTTAAAAATGTAAGGTTTCATCTCTTCACCCATCTTATCCATTGAAACTGAAAAAGATTTTTCAAATTAGGAATGATTTCACTAAAATCTAATTTGACTTGAATTTTTCTTTATTTTTGCCAACTGTTCTTACTCCTGAAACTTCTCCAGTTAATCAACTATTTGTTTTTGTATAACTTAATGATTGGCATTTACAAAATGCAGACATCATAAATCATTTAACAATTTAAAATCTTTCAGAAATTGGAAACAGAATGATTAATTCTTTAATGATGCAATATTTGTGGCCAGTTTGTTTGGTGTGTAAATCACTGGCACCAATCATGTTTTTAACAAACACATTAAAAGTGAAGAAAATAGCTTTAAAATCCCTGACTTTCATATTACTTTTTTATATTTACAGGGAACCAAGAAAATTTGTGCTTCACAGGGGATCTGGTGGATTAGGCTTCAACATTGTTGGGGGTGAAGATGGTGAAGGAATATTCATTTCGTTTATCCTGGCAGGTGGACCAGCAGATCTCAGTGGGGAGCTGCGAAGAGGTGACCAAATTCTATCAGTAAGTTTTTGTATTTTGGTGCAGTGATGTTTAAAAGCTCCTGCTTTGTGATTATTGATGAAGTGCATCCATTGTATGATATGAACAGGAATGTTGCAGAAACCATGCACAAGGAAAGAACTTTGAATAAGAGAGTGATTAGTGCCCAACTCTCAAACCACGAAACCAAAATTGATGAGCAAGAGTACCATTCAAAATTGCTTGTGATTGGCATGTGACCAGTATGCTGCATACGGCAATCGCACTTCAAGAAGCAAGAGTGAGACATCAAGAACTGCAGACGCTGGAGTCAGAGATAACACAGTGTGGAGCTGGAGGAACACAGCAGGCCAGACAGCATCAGAGGAGCAGGAAAGACGTTTCGGGTCGGACTCTTCTTTAGAGAAGGGGTCCCTTCTGAAGAAGGGTCCAGACTCAAAACGTCAACTTTCCTGCTCCTCTGATGCCGCCTTACCTACTATGTTCCTCCAGCTTCACACTGTGTTATCAAGAAGAAATGCAATTATCATTGGGAAGGTGAAATTTAAGCAGCAGTGTACCCAAAACCATAGTGTGTCAGGATAGCCAGGAAGGAAATATGGATGGAACAAATTAAAAGCTTCAGACTGCAGCCTGCAGTTTTAATAAATTCATAAGTTCATAAGAAATAGGGGCAGAATTAAGTCATTTTGCCCATCGTGTCAGCTCGACCATTTGATCATGGCTGATATGCTCCCCGCCCCCATTTTCCTGCCTTCTTCCCATAAACCTTCAACCCATTACCAATTAAACATCTATCTAACTCCTGTTTAAATTTACACACTATCCCAGAATCCACCGCATTTTGGGGTAGTGAATTCCACAGATTCATCACTCTTTGAAAGAAATAGTTTCTCCTCAGTTCTGTTTTAGATTTGCTTCCCCTTATTCTTAGACTATGACCTCTCATTCTAGAATGCCCCATAAGAGGGAGCACCCACTCCATGTCTCTTTTATCTATACCCTTTATCATCTTGAATACCTCAATTAGATCTCCCCTCATTCTTCTAAATTCCAGACAGTATAGACCTAAGCTGTTCAATTCCTCTTCATACAACAAACCCCTCATCTCTGGGATCAATCTAGTGAACCTCCTTTGAACTGCCTCCAATGCACCACACCTCAAATAAGAGGACCAAAACTGTGCACAGTACTTCAGGTGCATTCTCAGTAATGCCTTGTATAATTGCACTAATACTTCCTTACCTTTATATTCTATTTCTTTAGCTATATAAGCCAACATTCCATTTGCTTTCTTTATTAACTGCTGCACCTGCATGCTAGTTTTCTGTGATTCATGAACAAGGACACCCAGATCCCTCTGCACCAGAGTACCCCGAAGTCTCTCCCCACTTAGATGGTAGGTCGCCTTCCTATTTTTCCAACCAAAATGCATGACCTCATACCTATCCACATTAAACTCCATCTGCTTCATTTTGGTCCACTTTCCTAACCTATCTATATCCATTTGTAAGGTTCTTATTTCCTAATTGCAATTTACTGTCCTGCGTATTTTTGTGTCGTCTGCAAATTTGGCCAAAGAGCCTTCTATCCCTGTATCCAAGTCATTAATGTAGACGGTAAATAACTGCGGCCAAGGACCAAACCCTTTGCCCTCCACTTGTAACTTCTTGCCATCTAGAAAAAAAAGCATTTATTCCGACTCTCTGTCTTTAGACCAACAGCCAATCGCCTATCCCAAGCTAATAAACTATCCCTAATCCCCAATCTTGTGAATTAATTGTTAATTAATTAATTAGCCTTTTATGCGGCACCTTATCAAATGACTTCTGGAAATCCGGATATATTACATCTACAGGATTCCAATTATCCACTTTGCTTGTTACATCTTTGAAGAATTCTAGCAAATTAGTCATACATGATTTGCCCTTCATAAGACTGTGCTGACTCTGATGGATAGCGTTTCAACTTTCCAAATTTCCTGATATTGCTTCCTTGATAATTGATTCTAACACTTTGCCAACAACAGATGTTAAGATAACTGGTCTGTACTTTCCCACATATTGCCTCCCCCCCGGCCTTTTTGAATAGGATTGTTACATTTGCATTTTACCAGTCCACTGGAACCTTTCCCATGTCCAGGGAATTTTGGAATATTGTGACCAATGGATCCACTATCTCTGCTGCCACTTCCTTTAATACCCTAGGACGTAGGTCATCAGATCTGGGGGACTTATCTGTCCTCAATCCTAATAGTTTGAGTACCTATTCCCTATCGATGTTGATTTTTCTAAGTTCTACCCCTTCTTTTGCCTCTGACTTGCCCATTCTAATAGAAATGGTACTATTGTCCTCCACTGTGAAAACTGAGCCAAAGTATTGATTTAGCATCTCAGCTATTTCAGTGTTCCCCACTATTAATTCTCTGGTTTCATCTTCTAAGGGACCAACATTCACTTTAGTGACTACCTTCCACTTTATATACCTATAGAAGCTTTTGCTGTCCTTTTTAATATTTTGTGCTAGTTTTCTTTCCTAGTTTATTTTAACTCTTTTTTATTAATTTTTTAGTATCCCTATGTTTATGTTTGAAAATTTCCCAATCTTCCAGCCTGCCACTGGCCTTTGCAATCTGGAATCCCTTAGTTTTTGACTTTATATTGACCTTGACTTCCTTGTTTAGCCTTGGATGTTTTTTACTCCCTTACCCTCTTTCTTCCTCACTGGTACATATTTTAATTGAATGTGGTACTGAACTATTCTGGAAGCAGTCTAAGCTACACTACATCAACCAATTTTGGGAACAGAGCTGAAATTAACATTGGGTTCCCAATTTTCAGAGAAATAGAGTTGTGACCTAGACCATTATGGGATACCAAATCAACATTACGTATGGTATGCTCTGGTGGATAAATCCCTGCATAGTGCAGTAAATGTTATTTGCCTGAAAAATAGCTTATTCTATCCGTCTTAAGTTGTGCTTTGAATAATTATCTGTGCATTACATTTAAATTTCGTAATATGTAAATGTATATAGAAGTATGTGACCTTAAAATGTTTTATTATATTAAAAGAGCCTTATAAATGTAAATCATTATTGTCATCGATACATAATAAAAGTACCAAGTAAATCTCAAAGTGCACATCCAGTTCAGTGTTTAAACTGACAGAAAATCACAAAAAATGCTACACGTAAGTAAGGACCCTGAAGTTTAAATATTGATTGCAATCATCCTTCATAAATGTTTAAAATTACTACATGGCTTATTCTTTTCTGTGCTAGCACCAAATATTGTGTTGCAGTTTGGCACTTTAGTTAGATTGAACTTTTTGTCAAATGCTGAATGAAGGAATTCAGATATTGGATCATTGTATGATTTTTAAAATTCTGATCTTTTACATTCAGATGAAGTAAATAATATGAGGAGTGAGAGTTGGAAACATATAATTCTCATACACCTAATTGTTCCTGTTTTTGACAAGAATCGATTTTCTCATGTCAGTGTTAATTTAAAGACACCAGTTTTGCAGACCTCAAAGAGAATGATGCAATAATAAAGATGACAGATTACATTTAGGAAGTGGAGATGTTTTTCTATTTGTCACAAAGTTAGATTTATTTGATTGTTGTATTTTGTCCTTATTTTTGCATTAATATGATTTGAAAGTGATACAGAAGCTCCAAAACTTACAGTAAAATAGCACACACAAAATGTTCTCTTTTTGATTTTTTTACTTCCTGTGTTCAGGATTATGACATCTGTTTTGAAGACACTGTCAGTGAGACCTTTTATCAAGATTGAATTTCAGCTGTGTATTCAGATATAAATTTGTTTGCACTATAAAATATCTATGTACATTTTTGCATAGGCTTTAGTTGCTACTTAGGCAAATTGTTTATCTTCCTACTCCGTCTATATGAAAACAAAATATAAATGAGCTAGAGGCAATGTTTTGTTAATACCCATGGAAAAATGAAAGCAACTCATTGAAGCTGTAAGTAGTGAGAACTGCCTGCCTTTAGCTCCCAGTTCTCATAATTGAAAGTTACAGAACAAATAATATTGTGTTTAAATATATATTACATAGTAGGCTTCTAGGCAGACTGAATTTACTACGTTGACAGAATTTGAAAAAAACCCTCAAATCATTTTTTTCTCTCTTAGTAATTCTGAATGCTGCCAGAAGAGGGCAGTATCCAATCAAACATGAATTTCATGTATTTCTTTATATGATTGTTTGCTTTCATGGGTAACAGAAATTCTTGGCATTCTGCGTTAACAGCAATTTACATTTCACACAACACTATTATTATAGGAAAACACCCCTAGGTGCCTCACAGAAGTGTAATAACACATAAATTGACAATGAAACAAGAAAGAGATATTGAGGATGAGGGGATGGGGAGGTAGATGGGGTGGTAACAAAAGGCTTTGTCAAAGATGTAGATTTTAAGGTCTTAATGGACAAGAAACCAGATGAGAGGGACTAAGTAATAGGGAGCAAATTCCAAAGCTTAGGCACAGCCTGTAGAAGTGAGGTGAAGGGATTGCAAAATAGGCCAGAATTGCAACAGCCCAGAGTTATAGGGCTGGAGGAGTTCCTATATGCAGGCCATATAGGAAGTTGAAATATGAAGAATAAACTTCTACTTTGGAGATATTGGGGGATCAAGAGCCAAAGTAGATCAGTGTCTACTAGGGTGATGCATGAGCAGGACTAAATGTGATTTTGAATATGGACAGTAAAGGTTAGGGTGAGAAGAAGTTATTGGAGGGTGCTCGATACCAGGCCATCCAGAAGGCTATTAGCATGGTTGTCTGGAAATGAGAATAAAAATGATAATTTTACAGATGGGTTGAGGAAGAGCTAGAGATATTCCAAGGTTGTAAATAAGCAAGCTTTTCGATGTAAAGGATGTGGTGTAGAAAGCACTGCACAGTCAAATAGGACAAAAAATTAATACTGGGATATGGATACAAATATAACAAGCTTCACTATCCAGGAAATCTGATGGTTTG